TTATTTCTTTCTTAATTTCTCTTTTGATCCATTCATCATTGGGGAGTGTGTTGTTTAATCTCCATGTGTCCATGTGGTGATTAGAGCTTCTTCCGGTGTTGATTGTAAGCTTTATCGCATTGTGGCCTGATCGAATGCATGGAATTATTTCAATCTTTTTGTATTTGTTGAGCTTCGTTTTGTGCCCCAGTATATGGTCGATTTTGGAGAAGGTTCCATCGGGTGCTGAGTAGAATGTACATCCTTTGGTGCTTGGGTGGAATACTCGGTAGATGTCTGTTAAGTCCATTTGACATATGGTATTGTTTAATTCAGATGTCTCTCTGTTAACTCTCTTCCTTGTTGACCTATCTAATGGAGACAGTGGGTGTATTAGTCACTTTTCTGTTGCTGTGATAGAAACACTGACCCAAGCAATTTATAGAAGGAAGGGTTTATTTGAGCTTAAGGTTCCAGGGGAATTACAGTCTGTCATGGCAGGGAGGTGTGGTGGCTGGAGGTGGCTGGACCAGGAGTAGCAGAAGGGAAGCTCCCACATCATCAAGCAGGTACAGGAAGCAAGAGGGCTACTGCGATCTGGTAAGGCTTAAGAACTCTTTAAGCCCACCCCCAGTGACGTGCTTCCTCCAGGATAGCCACACCTTCTAAAACCTCCCAAAATGGCACCACCGTCTGGGGACAGAATGTCCAAATACTTGGAGCCTAAGGGGGACATCTTCATTCAAACCACCACAGTGGGATGTTGAAGTCCCCTTCTATTAATGAGTTGGGATTAATCTGGGTCTTAAAGTCCTGTAGTATTGTTTTTATGAATTTGGATGCAGCAGAGTTTGGTGAATATATGTTCATGATTATAATATCTTCTTGATTTATTGCTCCTTTAATCAGAATGAAGTGGCCCTCTTTATCTCTTCTGATTAGTTTTGGTTTAAAGTCTATTTTGTCAGATATTAGAATTGCTATATCTGCTTTTTTCTTAGTACCATTTTCTTGGTATATTTTTTTCCCATTCTTTC